TCCATCAACATTTTCACCTAAACTGTTGATATATATGGAGAATAAAAGTGGACCTAAAACAGAACCTTGAGGAACACCATTAGCAATGTTCAACCACTCAGAAGTGAGCCCATCAAAGTGAACACATTGGGACCTTTCAGATGCCCCTTTCACACCGGCGCTTTTCCAGCTCCAGCTCCGGCTCGGAGCTGGAGCTGGAAAAGCGCCGGTTTTTCCTGTTCACACCGCAGCGGCGCCGCGTCATAGCTCCGGAATGCGGTTCACTTCCAGCTCCAAAAAATTGTCGGTCTAGAGGTAAGAGCTTCGGAGCTATGACGCGGCGTCGCTTACGTCTCTCTTACGTCGAGGCGTGCAGGAAACTAAACCCACCTCCCTGAACATGGGTTGACTGAAGAGTCTCGTCATGCCTGCCTACAAGAAGTAGCGCTGAGCAAAGTGACTAGAACGTGACCACACACTTATAAAAAAAAAACACACACTTTATAAAGTCAGGCAACACTAACCAGGCTTCGTGTGATTCTGTTTATTTGTACCTTACTTTGACCATCCGTTCGCTGTTATTGATCATTGTGGAGAGCAGGCAGACGTTTTGTTTGTTATTATAGCAGCTATCGGATGGAATCAATACATGGGCTGCACAGGTTGTCATGTCCGACTATCACAAGTAGAATCATAATGAAAAATACGCCGGTAAAATGTGCCTGTAGAAAACGGCTTAGCAAGTAGTCAGTTTAGCTTCGGTTGCTATGCTAACATCACCCATGTTATACCAGAGAAACTTTCATAACAGCGTTGTGATGCCAAACAGCGTCAATTCAGACTGACACACATTCACTTAAGGGGAACTGGGGATATGTATCAGCTGCTTGTGTGACAGTCAGACAGTGAATACTTTAGAGCCGTGTGAGCTAACCCGGAGCTAACGGGAGAAAAAACTCCCGTGGAAGAGCAGCCAGCACTGCAGCGGTCGGTAAATGCCGCTGAAACACATTAATAAACAATGAACCACGGCACTCTGGAGAAAAGTATAAGGTTGGAGAAGTCGTTATTTAATTTAATCTGGCTTCGTATGATTAAAAGCAACACGATCATCGACCCGACGCAGTCCCCCGTTGTTGTTGTTGTTGAGAGCTCCGTTGGGAAGAAAATCAGCGATGTAAACGGTGACGTCATGACGCAGCAGCGGCAGCTGGGCGGTGTGAACAGAGCGGGAGCTGAAAAGGGAAACCGGAGCTGAACCAGAAAAGCTCTAGCTAGGAGCTAGAAAGGGAAAAGCGCTGGTGTGAAAGCCGCATAAAATAGCTGAGAAATGGGTGTCAAAACTAATCACCAAACATTTAGATAAAGGTTTCGCTCCACTCCACCCAATGCAGTTTGGTTTTCGTGCTCACCACTCCACTGAGACAGCTAACTGTGTGTGGAAAAGGTTAAATGTATGTTGGACACGAGCCCATATGTAGGTGCTGTCTTCCTTGATCTCAGGAAGGCTTTTGACACAGTTGACCACCAAGTGCTCCTTACAAAGCTGACGTATTTCAATTTAAAAAAAAAAGAAAGTTCAATACAGTGGGTTGAATCCTACTTATCAAACAGAAAACAGTATGTTTTGGTCAACGGTACCAAATCCCCCTACCTTCTCAACCCTGTTGGGGTTCCACAAGGTTCCATTCTTGGACCATTACTGTTTTCTCTGTACATTAATGACTTGCCTAATGTATGTCCTGATTTGAATGTACAAATGTTTGCCGATGATGCGGTCATCTTTGTACACGGGAAAAATACTGAAATAATCACATCCTGTCTCTCAAATAATTTGGACAAGGTTCAACACCGGCTGAACAACAATTGCTTACAGTTAAATGCAAAAAAAACAGTATGCATGATGTTCAGTAAACGACCAGTCAAAATTGAAGGATCCAATGTGTTTTTAAACGGAGCAGAAATAGAACTAGTCTCCCACTTCAAGTATCTTGGAGTCATACTGGACTCGAACTTGACTTTTAAGAAACATATCAAGAAAGTATCCAATACCGTTAAATTCAACTTGCAAAATGTTAAACAAATGAGACCTTTCTTAACTGCTGCAAAGTCATACCTCCACTGTATGATTCTATCCCACATTGAATACTGTTTACAAACTGGTTGTTTGCTTGTGCCACAAACCTGAAACCCATAGAACAGCTGTACAAGAGAGCTATCAAGGTGTTTGACAGAAAGCCTTATTCATACCACCACTGTACCACCCTTGAGAAACACCATTTCTTGAGTTTTGACAATTTTAAGTCTTTTAAAAGTATGTGTTTTTTTTATAAATGTTTACATGGACTGGCCCCCCCCCCCTCCCTTAGGGGAATTCATCCACAGAAAACACACTGGACGCTACACTAGGACAGAAACCAGAGGAGACTGTGAGGTCCACCGCAGACGGACCACTTTTGGACAAAATGTCCTCTCCATTAAAGGCAGCTCTTTGTGGAATAGCCTCCCAACTGAGATACGGGATTGTCCCAGTCTCGAGTTTTAAAGGTCAACTCAAAGAATGGTTGAGAAACAAACAAACGTGCAATCACCGCTAAATGCACTTAAACACAGGGGCATCTCCTCTTGCCCTTTATGTAGCCCTTTTATCTTCTCCTGCACTTTATATTTGGTAGCTGCTACATTGTACTGCCATGTGGTAAATGCTTATATGCTGCTCATGCTCTTTCTGCATATCATGTATTTATTTTGCTATGTATATAAATGTCATGTTCTTAAATGTTGTATGTGAGGGACTACGGATGGAAACTAGCTCAAAGCTAAAATCCGGCATGTTTACGTTTTTAAAGCATTATTTGTTTTAAATGTTCATCAATGAAGAACATTTCAACATTTTATATATTTTTGTATCATTACATTTTGCTCCAAAAGTCATACTTTTACTCTTTTTCTCAGTTAACTTTTCCTTAAAGAAATACAGATACACCGGACAGTACCTTTTGCCAGAACTGTGGTTGCCAGAGTGATGAGCATCATGCAGATGGAAATCATTGTTGCCCTGTTTTAGGACATACATTAAAAAAAAATGAATTGAGTGCCACATTGTATTTATATTTTAATTAATTTCTAAATTATCTTTCAGGTTTTAACTAAATATGTTTTTAATAAAATAAGGTCTAAACAATATGAATAGGGCATAAAAGAAGAATGCAAAATAATGTATACCCTCTCAAATATACCTTCTACAAAAAACAGTAATACAATGATTCTACTCACTTTAGATTATTTCAGAACAAGATATGACAGTATATTCTAAATTGTCACTCACCGCCTTGACAATGCTTTGTTTGCTTCCTTGCTGTTTGACCTTTGTGCTGCTGACAGAGGGCTGGCGTATGCTCCTCGTCTTTTTGTCGTCTTGTGTTTCATGAAGTATTAAGGCGGAGGTTTTGGTCCATTCACCAACATCTTGCCAGTAAACAGTGATCGCCTATAACTGACAGTACCCAGATATAGACTGCTGACAAAACCTGTTGTTTCTTACACTTGAAACCATCCCCAAAGAGTACTCTTAATCTAAACATTTCTAAATGATCATATGCTGTGTGAGATGTCACAGTTTGAATTGTTAAAATGTCCAAAAACACTAAATGCTTTTCCTTCTTTTTGTAGAAATAACAATTTTGGAAATAACCTTTGGTTTTGGTGCATTTCTTCAGCGTCCTATCCAGGGGAAACATTAAAAGGAAATCCCACATTATGGCCAATAACCTTTGCTTGTGGTACATTTTTACGCTTTATTTTATGCTGTATGTTCTGACAAGGGCAGAGGAGGACACACTTAACACAATTATGAAATGCAAAGCAAATAAATTGCTAGTTCATCCAATCCTCAATCTTCAAAATAACTTTACAGTAGTTTTCATAAAACTGTTTGCATTAAAACAACTGTATTTCTCTCCGAAATGTATACTGCAGTTTGAAGTGGTATGCAATGAAATGTTAGTTCAGTAAAGTGAAAGTACCTCTGAAGGAGTAAAGTACTTCACTTAATGCAGTACTCCACCTAGTGGTCATATGGCTCTCTGGTATTTACAACATGCTCTCTGCACTGTTGCTCAGGAGTTGAATTGTTGACACGCATCTTTTTGTTTGCTTCTTTATCCCTCTTGTTCATTTCATGTTGTGTCATGACTTATTTGTTTCTACAGACTTTATTTCAAATGTGTTTAAAGTCACAACAATATGGTATTCTAAGAGGGGATTGTAATGCATTGACCAGAACTGTTAGATGACTTGACCGGATAAAAATTCAATTTGACTTTAAAGATATCTCCTCATTTTCTCCGCTTTCTTTCACCAGTTCTGTGGAAACTAGTCGTCTTAGGTTTATCTGCATTTTTGATCTGAGTTACAAAGCATATATTTTATATATATATATGTATGATTACGTTTTTTTTTATAGAGAGTCTCTATAAATAAATTAAAACTATCTCAGACTGTAGTATTATTGGTATAAACAAGTTTAGAATGACTTAAAAATGAATTATTACAGCACTGAGCATTGTGTAATTTCAAATATTTTCAGTGAAGATCTTTATCAAAATAACTGTATTTATCCATCGCTTTTTGACTTTGACAACTATTGCTTCTAAAGGTTGAAACAGTTGTTTACTTTATTGACAAAACTCTGGTAATGCGATATGTATCATAATACAGGGGTTTTAATTCATTATCTCGTGATATATTGCAAAACACTGGACATATTATTGCTTAAATGTAATTTTACAAAAGTGATCGTAGTCACTTGAAATGTTGGTAGAAAAAGTATTTTCTGTATGCATCTGTACAGTGTGACGTGCATTTGTGGTTATCACTGTCTTTCTTAAGGGGGAAGAACGAACAAAATAATCAGGGCGTTCCTAGAAGGAGGAGCATATCACTCAGTGAACCTGCTTTGTATTAATACAGTTTAAAAAAAGAGTGAATAATGCAAACAATGGTTGACAGGAACCTGAGGCTGTGTACTGACAGTTCAGTTGAGGATCAAGTTATTGTGTTGCATGGCTTACTGGTCATGCCGAGACAAGATGGTGGCTGAATAGGATGTCCCATCCGAGTTTAGGTTTTTTTCTAACTCTCTTTTATGCCACAGGTTGGCTCTATCACTACCTATATTACATTTCCAGGAAGACAGATGATGTCACCATCATCCTAGATATTTTTACACTATGAAGGACTTTGCTGACTCCATCTCTATTCTTGGTCAGTGGGGACGTTTCCAGCAGGTTGTCTTCTTCCTGCTTTGTGTGAGCCTCGTGCCGAATGGATTTGGTACTTTCATTCTCGTTTTCCTGACGGATGTGCCAAGACATCACTGTGTTGTTCCTGGTTTCAACCTTACCGAAGACTGGAATACAACCATCATACCAACAAAGGTGAATCTGCTAAAGCTTTTCTGGAAACATGATTTAATTTTTTGTACACAAACTTTTGGATTATATCTTTATGAAATGTAAAGTATCAGAAACCTATATCCAGAATGAAACATATACTGTTTTTCTGTCATTGAATGCATCTTCTTAGAGAAAATGTACCACTGTGTACTACATAACCTATTTGTATTTTCAATGATAGCCTATTTGCACATCATTTGCAACCAGCAAAAGGTTAACCTTAATAGTTTAAGCATGCACGGGATGGTGCATCTACTGGGATGGTTTCTTGTAAAAAGACAAGGGATATAAATATCTATGTATTTATCTATTTATTTATTTTTAAACTAAATGTGGCTACAATCTATGCTTATGTGATAGTACACTGTAGACAATCACGAGTATTGTTAGTGCACAGCTATATTGCCCAAAGTTTGTTTCCCACATGTCCTTAAACGCAGGGCTACCCCTGGCCACGCAAAGTTATGTGATGAGGCCCTCTGTGTCGCCGGGGGGCTTTCACGGTGTAATGTGTTACACACTATAACACATTACACAGTAAAAGCATACTTTCACTGAAAAATAAACCTTTCTGATAACACTAACACATTTTGTATCACTGTGACTGTTAGGTGGTGAATGGGAAACAGGAGCAGAGCAGATGCAGCAGGTACAGGCTGGATGTGGTCAGAAACCTCTCTGCTCAGGGCTTCATTCCTGGCAGGGACATCAACCTCACCGACCTGGAGCAGGAGGGCTGTGTGGACGGGTGGAGCTACAGCAAAGACATCTACCAGTCTACTCTGGTCTCTGAGGTGTGTGTGCGTGCCAAACCTTTTACTCGATCTTCCCAGTCTGTTTGTTTTATGTCTTGCATTTTTGATCCCCTAGTTGATACTATACGTGCTTCAGTGCAATCTTTTTTCATTTTCTCTTAATGTGTACTAAATCAGCTTAGTACTTTTTAAAAGTTATATTTATATCATTTGGATTTGTCTAAAACCTCTGTGCCTTAGCACACCTGGCACAGCTTAGTGAACACAGCTGCTGTCAGTCAGTAGAAATGTTAATGCTTGCTTATTATTGTACCTAATAAAAATTCCAGGCTCAAGACCTTTCTTTTTGCCGCTGCTTTTAATTGAACTATTCACATCTTAAACTGCACTGTAACTTTTATTCATGTATTTTTTCTTTTAATGTTTATTTCATGATCTTTGCTTTTTAAGGACTGTTTTTAAATGCCATTTTCTTAATGTCTTTCATTTTTTGTAAAGTACTTTGAATTGCCTTGTGTTGAAAGGTGCTATATAAATAAACTTAACTTGCCTTGACTTGCCTTGCCTTGACTTGCCTTGCCTTGCCTTGCCTTGCCTTGCCTATACAAATAATCCCTCCACAGAACAATGTAAGCATAGAATATTAACAAGCTTAATGTTTAACAGTTTTCTTCTATTTTTGACTTTAATACAATATTGTTTACCTAACTTGGGCTAGGTACTGAGTATTAAATGTATTATGAATGTACATAAACATCTAAAATTCAATGTGCTAGATAGGGATCTACTCTCTTCACGAGACGTGCCCTTTGTTAAACTGCTGTGCAAATTGTCTTGTTTTTCTGCCTGCTAGTCAAGACTGGCAAGTTCAGCATGTGTGTCTCCAGATTAGAATATTCTCTCTCTTTCAGATAGATGGTTTCATTGTTGTGATTGTAAAGTGTCTTCGTTAAATGTAAAAAAATCGAAACTACATATCTGTCAAGTTTTGTGACTGTATCTCTGCAAGATCACTGCATCATTGTCACATAATTACTAAAAGTGCTAAAAAAGTCCCCTGTGTCACTTGCCGCTACAGTAGTTATTTACAGGGGCACATTTTACCACACAGACTTAGCATAATCGAAATATAATCAGACATCGAATAAGTGTCATAAAGAACCAGCTGCAGAGAGATCATAACATTACCGGGGAAATACCCTGAACAATGCATGTCATTGTTAAACATATATTGTATTGTTTGGATATTCCAGTTCGACCTGGTGTGCAGTGATGAGTGGAAGCAGCCGTTCACCGCCACAGTTTACTTCATTGGAGTTCTTTTTGGATCCTTTTTCTCAGGACAGCTGTCAGACCGGTACTATAAAACACCAGAACCATGTGATGTATACATTACTAGCATTGCTGTGGCCTACTCCAACTGATGCATAAGACACTTGGAGCATGATTTTATACACAGCTACTAAAACCCATTATGTTGGATGTTGTGTTATTGTGCCTCAGATTACATGGTGCTCAATAATGCCGTGATATAGTATATAACGTAACCTTAAGTGGTGTTGTTTTTTCTTTCTTTTATGTCACAAAAACTGTAAACACACATGTTTGTGTGGAGCACATCTACACTCAAATCTTTGACAGAAAAACTATTATGTTCATATATGTGTACATACTAGGTTATGCATTTGTTTTTCTTATTATGTTTACTTGTGTCTCATAGGTTTGGAAGAAAACCTGTGCTCTTTGCAACCATGGCAGTTCAGACGTTATTTTCCTTCATTCAGGTCTTCTCTACTTCGTGGACTATGTTTACTATCCTCCTCTTCTTCAATGGTTTGGGACAGATGTCCAACTTTGTGGCTGCTTTAGTGCTGGGTACATGTCACAGTATATTATAGTGCCTCTGTCGTTTAACACTGTTGACAGATTAAATAAAACACAATGCAGGAATGTGTTAAAACCTCTCTCTCTTATCTCTGCACACAGGCGCTGAGATCTTGACTGGCAATGTGCGAGTCCTTTACTCATCGTTGGGCTCGTGTTTAGGCTTTGCCATTGGTTACATGATTCTACCTCTTGCTGCTTACTTTTTGAGGGATTGGAAATCTCTCATGTTGGCTTCGTCTTTACCCGGCCTGCTTTACCTCCCTCTCTGGACGTATGTTGCATTACATGAAAGTATAAATGCAAATCAATGGCTGTGCCTGTTTTACATACATTACCTATAGAGATATTCCCATAGTCACACTAAAGTATAAGATGAATACATGTCTGTGTAATTCTCCTGTCGCTCTCCCTCTTTCCTGTATATATATATATTGTACTATCAATACAAAATGTTTTATACTTTGTCTTTAAAGTCTCTCTTATCCAGCCTGAGTCTTGCTTTCTGAAACACTGACGCAGGTTCATCCCGGAGTCTCCTCGCTGGCTGCTCTCTCAGGGAAAAGTGGAGGAGGCTGAGGCCATAGTGAGAAAGGCTGCTAAGTGGAACAAAGTTAAGGTTCCGAATATCATCTTTCAAGATTACAGTGTAAGTTTATCTGCTCTTCCTGTTGTTGGTACTCCGTTTTATAATACTTTTCTTATGTGTAGTATCATTGCCCCAGTTTGCGACTCTTACAACCTCAGATCCAGTGCCTGGATACGGTTCCAGGTACCTACTTTACGGACTGAGGCTGGAAAAAGGAGTCTTTTTTATTATGGTCGGTCTTGGAATGACCTTCAATCACGCCTTAAACTGAGGGCACTTGTCTCTATATCATGTTTTAAATTGAAGTTGTCTGAAGTCCTCACCACCAGCTGCTCTTGCAGTAACAAGTAGTGTACTTTTTATTGTCCTAATGTGCACAATGTAGTGACTGCTTTTTCGTCTTTTGTTTTCTTAGTTATGTTCTCTGTATTTTATATGTTTGTGTTATGTGTTATGTGTAACGTTGCTGCCTTCTTGGCCAGGTCAGCATTGAAAATGAGATTTTATCTCAATGTTTTTATCTGGTTAAATAAAGGTTAAAAAAAAAAAAAAAAAAATTGTTAGGAATGTTGTAGGCCAGGGTATTAACACATCTAAAGTGATTTAGTAATTTCACAAGCAACATATAAGTCAGTGTTTCCCCTATATACAGCCGGCTAACTTCAGGGAAAACTCGGGCTTTCTGGTCCTACGACGCTGGTTCTCTTTTTAGCGGGCTAGATCTCCATGGTAACTTATGCTGAGCGGCTAACCTCCTCCGGAGGAGGTTAGGTTGCAGGCTAAGAGATCAACTCAGTGAAAGCACCGCCTGCTGACCAATCAGAGCTCCGTGTGCGGAGTTTAAAGCTATCAAGTCATATTACAGGATAGAGGAAATACAGAAAAACTGCCGTTGCAGGAAAGACGGCCGGGAAAAATCAACTGACTGTGTGAACGTGAAAATGAATAGAATATCCCCTCCCATCTTCAGAGCAATCTGACTATTATAACATTAGAGTTAAGAAAGCTTACTTAAATATCTGCCACAACATAAGTAACCGGATGAGTGTAACATTACGTACAGTCCGCGGCACTGTGAGTGCAGACGTCGATGTGTCTTATTATCATTCATATCATATCACATCATAATGTATCATATATTTCCTTATCTGAGTCAGCTTCTTGAGCCGTATCTGGCCGTGCAACACTCACAGTGTCACATACTGTATGCAGAAGTATTATTTTAAGCAACACATTAAGTTGACGAAACACTCGAGTCAAATGTAATTAAAGTCAGATCCACTCGTGTCTTAGACGGGGCAGTGATATCATAAACCTGTTAATGTACGCATTCAAACACTTTTTCTTTTACCAGCTGTATTCACCTTGCAGGTGCAGCTATGTGGCTTTGATCCTGGATAAAGTGTTTAAGTCATGGATGTTTAAAGTTTAACTTCTTCATAATTTGACTAATATTAAAGTTCACTTTTCATTCAGGAAGTATGACGCTGCGCTGTCAGTACGCTTGTCCATGCTTGTGATTGGTCGAATGCTCCAAATACCACCCCTTTCATGTGAACGCGCACCTAACTAGATAGGACACGGCTGGCTTGAGCAATCCACTTGATAACCAGCGTCGTAGTACAGCTTAGCGAGAGCGCGTATGTTTTGGATTGGGCCAACCGGCTAACTCAAACATATCCAGGTTATGTTGAACCGGCTTCGTAGTACAGGCCTCAGGTCTCTAGTAATTGTGTGCTCAAAGTGCACCAGATTGAAGCGTTTTACTTTAAAATGTTCAAAAAAATCTTCCAGGGGGGGCATACCCCCGGACCCCCCTAGAGGATGTGACGTCCACCCCCCAATTAAAACATGTTCATACAATACTGAATACATTTGAAGCCATTTTGATGTATATTACCTATGTCAATACGTTTCTGTTTTTGTAGTGTATTTGTCTTTTGTAGAGATTTTTCATTTATTCTTTATATATAAAATCTCGCCTAGGGCAGCAAATTGGCTAGAACCGGCCCTGGTACTAGGCCTCAAGAGCCTTTCTTGTGCTGGCAGACACATAGAAACAAATTGGCGGGGCGCACTTCACACGTGCACACACTAAAATATTCCACGCGCTCCGCGCTCACATTATGCTGGGCCCACGTGCCTTAGCACCGCTGCTATGACTCCATCCTAGGGGAAACACTGTAAGTGTTATATGTCTGTAAAAATGAATGGTCAAAAACATCTCGATTAGCCTTGAAATTAGTCCTAATTTTAAATAATACAAATACAGTACACAACCACACACGTTAAAAAGAGAAGGGGTTCTAGCCAAAAACCCAGAGCAGGGAGAGCAGGACCATTCACAAAATGTACCCCAGAGCAAGGGGTTTAAATCATATAACCCACTGGTAGCGCTAGTACATCATCTCATTTTAAACAAACATTACCATGTTTTCTCATCAAAGCGCCATATGATATATCCATTTGTCATTTTCTGATGACGTCAGCATCAGGATGGACACATTTGTATTTAAATTAGAAAAATGCATGATTATTGTTGTTTTCATATAGATATTAGGCCACTGAGGAAAGAAACCACAACACAGGGTTTCATTTTGTTTTCAATCCTGCAGGGTGATGAGGAAAACGCACAGCCTAAAGAAAAAGCCAATGTCCTCGACCTGCTGAGGAAAAGCAGCATCAGAACCACAACACTTATCTTCTGCTTTGTGTTGTAAGTATACAGCTTCTATTTCGTATAAGGCTTCGCCCTCTAAGGCTATCGCTATTGGGTAATCCCACTGCGCATGCGCAGCACTGACAGACTTAATCCACGCCCACCTATGACGTGGGCCTCACCTACGGCCTCACTTCCGTATAAATAGGAAGTAGGCCCGACCAACTGCTCCCATTTTTCTTCAGCACTCCGTTGCAGAAGCACTGGCCCTCTGGCCCACAGACAGCGGAGAGAGGACGCTCTCGCTGCTGCGGCCGAGGATGATTGGCTAGTCCAGGAGTCTTACTCCGTGGACCAAGACCTTGATTTATGGGATCCGAGTGGGGGGCAGCAGTCAGGCGACTCCTTCCCCTCCATTCACGGATCACCATGACCATGACCATGATCACCTGACACCGGGTAACCGGGTCCCTCTATCCGCCATCTCGGATCTGCCGTATAGGCGGTATTCTCCAGGAACTCCCGGAGATCATCGGAAAGGCAGCCGCCTAATGAGATCTCCCCGTTCCCCCGGTTCAGGAGAGCTCTCCTCCGGATGACATAAAAAAGCTGTATAAGCGGCTGCCTCATAGCCTATCGGTTATTAGGCAGCAGGGCTCGCGGCACAAACCGGCTGTCTTTAAAACCTGTCGGTTGATTAGACAGCACGGGCTTGTTTCCTATGTCACAGATATACCTCCACACACCTCCGCTCATTCCTCAAGCGAGTTTGAGCGTGAACGCGCCTCAATGTCCGGTTTACGAGCCTTCTCTTAAACGGAGACATGATGAGAGCCGCTGTGCAATACAACGTGTGGAGGTGCATAAGCCAGCTGGGGTTAACCGGTCGGTTAACAGACAGCGGGGCTCGCCGTTTGAGCCGGCTGTAACCTGTCAGTTAGCAGGCAGCAGGGCTCGCGGCACAAGCCATGCTGTATTTAACCAGGCGGTTATTAGATAGCAGGGCTTGACGTTTAAACCTGATGCTCCTAACCTGTCGGTTAGCAGGCAGCACGGTTTTTTCCTCTGTCTCAGATGTGCCTACTACACACGGTCGTAATGAGCCCAGGGCTGTTATTACGCACTGTGTGAATAGCACTGCACACACCTCGCTCATTCCTCAGCAGGGTTGAGCGGGAACGCGCCTCAATGTCCAGTTTACGAGCCTTAACACTCCTAAACAGAGACAGGGTGAGAGCCGGTGTGAGATGCAGCGTGTGGAGGCCCCCTCCGGCTCTGACGTGGCTCGTCACCATGACAACCACAGCACTTTCCAGAGCATGTCGCGCGCTCTCAGAGTATTACTCAGAGGGCGGCGCGTGTGTTCGGTGGACAGATGGTTAATATTATGCAGCAAGGCCCACCGGGTAAGCCGGCTGCCCCTAACCTTTCGGTTATAGGCAGCAAGGCTCGCTGCATAAATCTGCTGTCTTTAAAACCTATTGGTTTTTAGGCAGCTCGGTTTTTCTCCTCTGTCCCAGACCTACCTCCTACACACGGTTGTAATAAGCCCACGAGTGCCATTATTACAGTGTGGACAGCACTGCACACACTTCCGCTCATCCCTTAGGGGTGTTGAGCGTGAACGCATCTCAAGGTCCGGTTTACGAGCTTTCTCCTAAACGTGACATAAATGAGAGTCTGTGTGAAATGCAGCGTCTGGAGGACTCTGGCGTGGCTCGTCACCATGACAACCACAGCACATCCAGAGCAGGTTCGCGCGCTGAGTGGACGGCGCGTGTGTTCGATGGACAGAGGGAAGTACTGTAATATGCAGCAAGGCTCCCCGGTTAAGCCGGCTGCCAATATCCTATTGGTTACTTGGCAGCATGGCTCGCTGCTTAAGCCGGCTGGGTTTTTTAAACTTATCAGTTAATAAAACAGCAGGGCTTACTATTCAATTCGTCTACCTTAAACCGTACGGTTATTAGGCAGCACAGATTTTTCCTCTGTCTCAGACGTACCTCCTACCCACGGTCGTAATGAGCTCACGCCCCCCAGGTGTCATGCTCACTAGGTACCCATCTCCCTCTGGCCCTCAAACAGCAGAGAGCGGACGCTCTCGCTGCTGCTGCTGCGGTCGAGGATGATTGGGCAGTCCAGGAGGTTTACTCCGTGGACGAAGCCTTGAGTCCTGGGTCCGAGTGGAGGGCACAAGTCGGATGACTACGCCCCCTCCATTAATGGATCAATGGGGCCATTATTACGCCTCGTGGGGACAGCACTGCACACACCTCCGCTCATCTCTTAGTGGTGTTGAGCGTGAACGCGCGGTTTACGAGACTTCTCCTAAAACGGCGACATAATGAGAGCCTGTGTGAAATGCAGTGTGTGGAGGGCTCTGGCGTGGTTTGCCACCAACCACAGCACATCCAGAGAATGTACACCCGGCGCTATCAGAGTATTACTCAGGGTGGCGGCGTGTGTGTCTGATGGACAGATGGATAAGAGGCGGATGGGCAGAGGGTAGTCTCTGCAGTTCGCCTCTCCCCCCCGCAGTTCTACGGGATAACAGGGAACCCTGTCATCCCAGGAACAGTGTCTCGCGCTCCGTGCAGAGCGGCAGGAACTCTGTTAAAGGAAGCCTTTTTCCAGGGTTCCTCAAGGGGAAGAAAATCAGGGGTTTTTACTCCCGCTATTATCTGGTCCCGAAGGAGACGGGGCGGGGGAATGAGACCCATCCTCGATCTGTCAGTGTTCAACAAGGGAATGGCCTTTTCCCATGCTGACGATCAAACAGGTGCTGGAGCATCTGTCAAGCCTGGGTTTTCATTATCAAATGGAAGAAGAGCTGTCCTCTTCCCTCCCAGGTTATCATTTAACTGGGAGTGGAATTGAACTCAGCCCGCATGAGAGCGCGACTCTCACAGCGGAGAGGGGAGAAAGTGACAGCTCTCCTCCGGCGCGTCACACCCCGCGGGGCGGTGACAGCCCTCTCCGTGATACAGTTTTTAGACATGATGTCAGCTGGTCACGTGGTGATCGCCCTGGGTCTCCTTCACTTGAGGAGACTCCAGAGGTGGTTTATTCGCCTGCGCATCGACCCTGTGCGTCAGAGGAGACGCATGGTGTACATTCCTCCTTCCGTGGGTTTGGTTTTAACCTATTGGAAAAATCTCCACGTCTTGTCAGTGGGGGTGCCCCTGAGCAGAGTGACGTCACACACCGCAGTGTTCACAGACGCATCTCTCGCAGGCTGAGGAACGTGCATGTCACAGGCAGGGGGGGGACAGTGGCCGGTTCATATGTCTCTCCATATAAACGTGCTGGAATTGCTCTCCGTATGGAGAGTAATCCAGCATTTTTTCGCCCCGTTGCGGTACAATCAACATGTGTTGATTCGAACAGACAACAAAGCAGCGGCGGCCTACATAAATCGCCAGGGAGGTGTACGATCAGCGCAGCTGCTTCACACACGAGAGCATCCTACACAGCCAAATGGACAGCGTTCCGTTTGACATGTAGGGAAAAGCTTGGACCCCGTTACGGTCACCCTGCCTCACGTGCTGTCGTTCCTCCAGCTGTTGCTGGACAGGAACTGGCTTATAGCACGGTCAAAACATATGCTGCTGCCATTTCATCTTGCCACGTAGGTTTGGTGTCAGCACGGTGTTAGTCACCCTCTGACAAAACGTTTTCTACGGGGAGTACAGAGACTCAGACCTGTGTCACGCGCTTTGGCGCCTCAATGGGATTTGGCTTTAGTGTTACGCGCACTGAGAGAAGCTCCATTTGAACCTTTAGATCAGGTCCCCCTAAAAGTTCTTGTCAGCCAAAGTAGCTCTGCTCTTGGCTCTGACATCAGCTAAAAGCGGTGAGTGATTTGTCTGCTCTCTCTGTGGCTCCGTCATGTCTCCAGATCCAAGGAGATGGCAGCTTAGCTGTTTTGCGCCCTAGCCTGGTTTTTATGCCAAAAATTATCACAGGTCTCTTTTTTAGATCAAGAGTGATAACTTTGGAGGGTTTTTTTCCTCCTCCTCACACATCAGAGGAGGAAGCCACATCTCATCTCCTCCGTCCCGTGCGCGCGCTGTCATGCTATACGGCATGCGCGGCTGTGTTGCGCAGTTTCCAGCGTCTGTTTGTGCATTACAGAGAGCGCTCAATGGGGCAGCCTCTGTCTGCACAACGCCTGTCACACTGGCTGTGTGAGGCTGTGTCACAGGCGTATGTCTCCTCTGGGGCGGATCCTCCGGAGAACATCAAGCGCACGGCACCAGAGGAATTGTATCAACCTCTATGGTGTTGCACGGAGGACCGACAGTGGAAGACATTTGCACCGCTGCATCTTGGTCTTCCCCCTGTTCTTTTATTCGTTTTTATTTGAGGGATGTCTCCCATTCCTCTCTGACACACTCAGTACTGAATGTCCTGTCAGAGTGAGTAATGTCGGGGACACAACTGTGTGCCCTCTCTCCTGCCTGTCGGCACTCAGAGAGCTGCCCTGTTTCCTCTCTTTTTTCGTTGTAACAAGTGGGACTTTGGTCTCTACTTTTTATAACGACAGGTATTCACCTTCATTCCCTCATGGAGAATATTCATTTTACGCATGGCGCAATGGACATGGGTTATTAAATTGAGTAGGTGTGTTTTTTGTGCTCCTGGTAACGGACGGACCAGTGGGGCGTGGACTACATCCTGCTTCGCCCTTAACCCAATAGCGATAGCCTTAGAGGGCGAAGCCTTATACGAAATAGAACTGGGGTTACGTATTGTAACCCAGCTTCTATGAGTATAGGCGCAGCCCTCTAAGGTTCGGGCCCCACTGGCTCCGTGAATAGCTGAAGAAAAGCTGTTGGCGTGGGAGCAGTTGGTCGGGCCTACTTCCTATTTATACGGAAGTGAGGCCGTAGGTGGGGCCCACGTCATAGGTGGGCGTGGATTAAGTCTGTCAGTGCTGCGCATGCGCAGTGGGATTACCCAATAGCGATAGCCTTAGAGGGCTGCGCCTATACTCATAGAATTCACATTTTTTTTTTAGCCATGGTAATAAATAACCTGACCTTTTGACTTAGTGAACTTTCAGACTGGATATGGCTAAAGTAATTTCTGGCATTTGTCTAGACAGAGACAGGTTTCTGTTATTACTGTTATAAGGGTGACCTGTTAAATGTGAATTCATGTTTTGCCGTGAAAGATTAACCTAACATCAGAGAACAGCACAACATGTTCACTAGACAAAAGTTGCACAGTTCACATGTTTGTTGTAATAGCCATTTGCGTTGTCAGCAAAAAATTGCATCCATAAACTATACCGTTTGACCTTTGACAACCTGACAAGGATAATAAAAAAACAGATTCAAGATTCAAGGCTTTTTTTGTCATTTGTACATAGAAGTAAATACAAATACAATATAATATAAATACTGCAAGGAGAGTCTATATACAAGTTATTGTAATATGTGTAGCAATGTGGCTTATACATGCTTGATTCCTGTCAGCTATGGCTAGGAAAATGATTAGTGTTGCAGCAAAGGAATGTTTCAGATGAAAGGCAAAATAACTTTTACTGTACTAGCCAGTAATAAAAGCAAGTTATAACAACATTAAATAGATATTAAACAGCAGACCTAAGAGGAAATTATTGCTGGGTTACAATACGTAACCCCAGTTTTATTTCATTTACTTACAATGAGATCTTTCTGCATTATTAACAGTTACTATGATGTTTGAGAGGGCTCATCCCACTCAAACTCATGTACATGTAAATGCACATTCACATAAAAAAAACCATTATAATTATTATTATCACTTATTAAACAACACATATTCAACACAGGAAAAATCCTTTTTCTCTAATCACTCAAATATACATTCATTCTATTTTCTTAACAGTTATTTTTTGATAAGAGTGAGGGCCTTTCTATTCAATCATCATCTCCGATCCGTTGGTGTCTTTGTCTTGCCCAGCTCCTGTTCAACAACAGGATACTATGGCCTGTCCCTGAACACAGCGCAGCTTCATGCTAACCCCTACGTCAGCTGCTTCATCTCAGCAGCTGTAGAGGTGCCAGCCTACATTTCTAGCTGGCTGATTCTGCACTACCTTCCCCGCCGACCGTCTGTCATCTCCTCTTTGCTTCTTGGAGCAATGCCGCTTTACGTCATACTACTGGTGCCTCAAAGTAAGCCCAAAACAAATATGGGGGGACTCTCAGAACCAAGGTTTAATATAGAGAACGCTTTATATCTTTAAGAAAATTCACAATTGTTATTTATTCAAGCTATTCACCAAACATACTTTATATTTACCTCTGTTGGGTTAAATAACTGCTACAATTAAATAGGAACTACTCACAAACTCAATTACTGGATTTTGTATTTAATGGTGAGCAAGAGAAAGAACTCTTGCATTGATTTGTGCATTTAATCATCATCAGATTAGATTAGAATCTGTAATGACCACACAGCCAGGCTGGTGGAATTCGTGTTCAGTGCAGAGTATTACAGCTTGTTCCATACAATTCAACAGACAATAAACAGACAATAAATAAAAAGTACAACACACAGCACAGGGCAAAGACATACATCGTGACATATATACATAAAGTTCAAGGTGTGGTGGATTGTGAGTGTTCATTGGAGTTATTTAGAGTCCATTTAGTGTTCGTATTGCAAAGGGGAAGAAGCTGTTTTTGAAGCGGGTGGTTTTGGTGGACCTGTAGCGTCTCCCTGAGGGCAGAAGTTGGAAGACATGGTGAGCTGGGTGGGAGGGGTCAGAAATGATTTTATTTGCCCTTGTGATAGTTCGTTGGTGGTGAAGTGATTCGAGTGATGGAAGGGGACTGCAGGTGATTTTTGATGCTTTATTGATGATACGTTGAAGTTTATTCGGGGAGTGGGTGTCTGAACTGCTGTACCAGACTGTGACGGATGATGTGAGGATGCTTTGGATGATGTCTGTGTAGAACTGGATTAAGAGATGTTTCCTCACTCTGTATTTGTTGAGCTGCCGCAGAAAGAATAGCCTTTGGTTGGCTTTTTTGTAGATGTGGTCTGTGTTGGTCTTCCATTTGAGGTTATTGCTTATGTGAGTGCCAAGAAATTTGAGTGAGTCTGTGATGGAAATGAGTCAGGAATTACTTATGCTTTACTTTAAATGATGAGGTTTGTAACCTGTGTTATTGTATTGTAGGAGAAAATGGCTTCATGGTACAAACATGGGTAAAATCAAGTGCTACAGTTGTGTATCTTATTAACGAAAAACAACAGTTGACACACAATTTCTTTATTCTGTAGGTCTACCCAATCTCTGTATTGCACTGGAGATGTTCGGTAAATATGCTTTTACCACTACTTCCTCCCTGATGTTTACATACATGACAGAGCTTTACCCAACAGTGCTAAGGAACACAGCAACAGGGACGTGCACGACTGTCTCCAGAGTGGGATCAAGCTTCGCACCTTTTGTAATAAAGCTGAGTGAGTACATTTGCATTTGCTGCATTAATGCATGTCCAGTTTGTTATATCTTCAGCAAGTTTGAGAGCCTTACACACACTCTGACATAACTTCATCTAAAGCCCCCGGACCTTTCTCCAATCTAAACCTTACCTTTTCAATTTTTAGATACATACATATTATATCTTCCTTATATTATACTGTCGACTCTGGCTGTTGTGGCTGCCATCGCTGCTTATTTCCTGCCGGAGAGTTTTGGAAAACCTCTACCTGAAACTATGACACAGATGCCTGAGAGAGAAAGGTGGGTACCTTAGGAAATAGTTATGAAGCTTCTTTAATGCCAACCTCATTTTTAGATATAAAGTAATAAATGCTGGTTAATGTGGGGGAAACTTCTGTGTAGCAATGCAGTGGGAGTCACCAACTCAAATGAGACACGGGGAGAGCTGGAGCTTTGATGTCAAACACTGATGGGTTTATTTAGGAGCTTCGGCCGGAGGATTCACAAAACAAGTCAAAGAGTCAGAGGTTCTGACTTCACGGTAGAGTTGCCACGTCAATTCTGAAGAACTCTACCCCAGACCCGTGTATTTAGCTAGTCTAGAGAGAATAGAGACTTGAAATCACAGTCCTTACCGTGCAGCCAGTAATGTTTTTCTTTCTTTTTATCGCTTTATAACAGGTTTAAGTGTCCATGCACTGGAAAAGAAACAATACGATTGGAACATCTTGAAAGTCCACTTTGACAATCTAGCACTTCATTAATGAAAGTTATATGTGAATATCGCTTTTGAATTGTGTTAGTCCTGTTAACATTTCTCATTGTTTAACACATTTTTAGCCATTTGAAAACATCACTCTTTCATTTTCCCAAACATCTATTTTGTAACTGAAATGGTTGAATGAAAACTTGGAGTTTAAATCTACCTGTGGAAATGTATGTTACCTTAAAAGGGAACCAGAAAAGATCCTTACAATAATATTTAATAACATAAGTTTTGTCAAATGTCAAATAACTGTAGCAACCTTTTTTTCATTACATACATTAATTTCATGATAGAATGCAACAGGTCTGTTACCTTTTTTAATGCAAAAACCCCCACACATTTAATAAACACTGTGTATTGTGGAAATGCAAGTGACCAGTCAACAAACTTTTGCATTCACAATTTCTTTTTAGCCATGGTAATAAATAACCTGACCTTTTGTCTTAGTGAACTTTCAGACTGGATATGGCTAAAGTCATTTCTGGCATTTGTCTAGACAGAGACAGGTTTCCGTTATTACTGTTATAAGGGTGACCTGTTAAATGTGAATTCATGTTTTGCTGTGAAAGATTAACCTAACATCAGAGAACAGCACAACATGTTCACTAGACAAAAGTTGCACAGTTCACATGTTTGTTGTAATAGCCATTTGCGTTGTCAGCAAAAAATTGCATCCATAAACTATACCGTTTGACCTTTGTAATATATAACCTGACAAGGATAATAAAAAAACAGATTCAAGGCTTTTTTTGTCATTTGTACATAGAAGTAAATACAAATACAATATAATATAAATACTGCAAGGAGAGTCTATATACAAGTAATTGTAATATGTGTAGCAATGTGGCTTATACATGCTTGATTCCTGTCAGCTATGGCTAGGAAAATGATTAGTGTTGCAGCAAAGGAATGTTTCAGATGAAAGGCAAAATAACTTTTACTGTACTAGCCAGTAATAAAAGCAAGTTATAACAACATTAAATAGATATTAAACAGCAGACCTAAGAGGAAATTATTGCTTGAGAAATGCTGTAAAATTCTTATTTTTGTATTTCTTTGTTGGCATGCATGGTTATCTATTAAAGGGCGTGGCTATCTCACAGTTTAAGAGACTGCAAACTGTATGTCTTCATTCTGTTGAGTTGGAAAAGGAATTTTTCTGCAAGCTTGGGAGAAAACAGTTAATACTCAGGCTATGGAGGATTACGATGAGTCCACTGCTTTTCTGGGTCAGTGGGGACGTTTCCAGCAGGTTGTCTTCTTCCTGCTCTGTGCCAGCATCGTGCCCAATGGATTAGGCGCTTTCTCCGTTGTCTTTCTGACAGACATTCCCAGACACCACTGCCTGATTCCTGAGGAAAACCTGACTCAAGATTGGCGCGATGCAATAATCCCGATAGAGGTAATACAAACAATTAAGAATGTAGCAGTTTTATTCCCTCATTATGAATTATTACACTAGCCAAACCAGAAACAAAATGTTAATTTGTTTTCACAATACTTTTGTTCAGATGTGCAGCATGTTTTTAGTTTTTTTTACGAGTCTGCTGTAAAAAGTTAAAGGAGGCTCATAAAGTGATCAGTTAGTCTATACTTTGGACTGTGGTGGAAAAGATAATGTAAGGACACGGTTGTCAATGCCATAATGTTGTATCCAGGGGTGGAAAAATAAATCGGATGATTTACTGAAGTAAACAAATACAAATACTCTGCAGGGCTGCATTCAGTGAAGCTACAGAAGTATTAGCATCAAAATATACTCTTAGTACCAAAAGTAAAAGTACTCCTCCATACAGAATAATCCGTGTATCTACCGTCCAATTGTTTTTCTTCATTAAACACGTAAACGGAAGAGCGTCTGAGAGGCGTTTTTGCTTCTTCTTCTTCTCTTCGTTTTTGGCGGATTGCAAACAACTTAAAAGGTGCATACCGCCACCTACTGTACATGAGTATGAATCATCATATCATACCAACTCTTTAACCTATGATCTAATAAAAATAAATAAAAATAAATAAATAAATCAACAAAAAACATGAAATAAATAAAACAAAAATAAAAATCTATATTCTTTCCTGACCTAATGTTAAATTATTTTCCCTACCCCAGTTTCACTCAAGAATGTAAACAGTGCCTTTCTGGTAGCTCTTACTCCCTCTCCTTTTGTTCCCAAAACACCAACCACACTCCATTCCCTCTCTGCCTCTAAAACTTTAGCCTTTAGTTTTTCTCTTTCCGCTTTAAAGATGTCACAATGTAACAAGATATGTTCTACATCTTCTTTTACTCCACAGTTCCCACACTTGTCACTGTCACTTTTCCCCATGATATACAGCGTACCATTCAAAGCCGTGTGATTTATTCTGAGTCTAGAGATCGTGATTTCCTCCGTTCTGTTTCTTTCTTTATAAATATGAATTGTAATTGTCTTTTGCACTTTGTGATAGTCTTTGCCTTTCTGGTCTTTCTCCCACCTTTTCTGCCAGATCTCCATCCCTTTCTTCTTAATTACTGCTTTTCCTTCTCCTTTACCAAGTTGAACTGGTAATGTGATTTCCTTTTGTAGTGCACTTTTTGCTCATTTATCAGCACACTCGTTCCCTTTCACCCCCTCATGTGCAGGCACCCAGCAGAACTGCAGATCTATGCCGCCTCTGTGCAATCTTAACAGGCTATGATTCAGTTCTATGAGAATGTCTTCTCTGGCAGTTGTTGTTGATTGTATGCTTTGTAAAATGGACAATGAATGTGTGCACATCACCACCCTATCTGGTCTGACCTCTTCAACCCACTGTAATCCTATGATTACAGCAAGCGTTTCTGCTGTGTACACTGATAATTGATCAGACGCTCTTTTTGAAATAGATATTTTAAAGTCTGGGATGTATATAACTACTCCAACACACTCTTCCTTGTTCTTAGAACCATCTGTGTACATTTGTAGGTAATTGTAGTACTTTTCATTCAGATACATACTTGTTTTAATTCCCACTTCATTTATTTGCCACTCTTTTTTCCTTTCTATGATACTCATATCTATTTTAGCTTCTGGGAAAAGCCATGGGGGAACACTACTAAATGGGGTTGCTTTGGCAAACGTGATATTCTCCACTCCATATGCCCTCGTTCTCTCCTTACTCGTCCAGCCAAACCCACGTCCCTGGAATTTTGCATGTTCCCAGCAATCCTGTAATATTCTGTTTGAAATATTTTCTTCTCCACTTCCTTGTAGCCTGACCCAGTATGACAGAGCAAGTTTCTCTCTTCTGATCTCCAGAGGTGTCTCTCCTGCTTCTATCAGAACTGCATTGATAGGGGATGACTTTATCGCTCCAATACACAACCGCAATGCTTTATATTGTATTCTATCCATTTTTAAAAGCGATGTTTTTGCTGCTGCTCCATACACTACAACCATAGTCTATTGTGGACCTCATAATTGATCTGTACATGTCTATTAATGCTTGTTTGTCTGTGCCCCAGTTGCATCCAGCTACAGCTCACAATAAATGTAATACTTTTTGGCATTTTGTTTCCACTTGATTAATATGCATTTTCCATGTATATTTGCTATCAAACCACAGTCCTAGGTATTTGAACTCATTCACCTTTGTCATTGGACGATCATATAGTGTTAGCTGTTGGCCATCAATCTTGCGTTTGTTTGTAAATACCATGTAGCATGACTTGCTTTCTGACATTTTGAATCCCCAGTTATATGACCACCTCTCCACTTTTTTAATCGCTCTAGCTATATTCTCCATTACGTATGGGGCATTTCTTCCCCTCATCCAAATAGCCCCATCATCTGCGTATAGAGCCGATTGAATGCATGTGTCTAAACATGTAAATATATCATTAATCATGATGTTAAATAATATTGGACTGACTGCACTCCCTTGGGGGATACCATTTTCTATTTCAAAATAATTGGAAATATCTGCTCCAACCTTTACTCTAAATGTCCTGTCTGTTAAAAAGGCCCTTACCCAATTGTACATTCTCCCTCCAATACCCATTCTACTCAATTTGATCAGTAACCCATCCCTCCATATACAGTCATACTCCTTTTCACTGTCAAAGTACACTATTGCCATTATCTCTTTCATTTTCAATGTTTTTTCCACATCATTACTCACTCTTACTAAAGCATCTATTGTGGACCGCCCTTTACGAAATCCGCTCTGAAAACTACTCAGCAGCCCTTTCTGCTCCAGTACATGTGAGAGCCTACGGACAATGATCTTTCCCATCCATTTACATAGGTGTGATGTAAGAGCTATTGGTCTGTAGTTACTAGGGTTAGCTGTATCTTTCCCTGGCTTATTGAATGGTAGCACGACTGCTGTTTTCCACAAACTTGGCATATCTCCTTCTCTCCAGATTTTATTGAAAAGACTCAGCACCATTGTCATAGTTTCCATAGGTAACTGTCTAAACATAGCATAACATAGCTGGTCTTGTCCTGGGGCTGTATATCCTGTACCTTGTAAGGCTATTTTGAGTTCTGACATTGTAAATTCCACATCCAGAGCTGGCCTATTATCCTGTCTCTTCTCCTTCACGTTTTCATTCTCTGCTAGTAACTGCTGTTGTTGCTGCCTATGAATATCACTGAGATGCTCCCCGCTATGTACTGCTGCAAGTGTCCTTCCTAACATATCTGCCTTCTCTTTATCTGTCACTGCCAGCCTCTCCCCATCAACCAAAGCTGGAATTTTAATGGATTTCCTTTTCCCACTCATCCGCTTAAACATGGACCAGACATCACCTAATTTTACTCCTCTGCCAATGGTAGAACAAAATTCTCTCCATGTTCTTTTTTGTGTGTATTTGATTGTCCTTCGAGCAGCTGCCCTTTTCCTTTGAAACTCTATAACATTATTTTGTGTCATGTTTTTCTTTAATTCTCTAAATGCATTATTTCGCTCTTTAATAGCCCTGCTGCATTCCTCATTCCACCATGGCACCACTTTCTTCCTACCCTTGGTTGTTGTTTTGGGTATACTGTTCTCTGCTGCATTTAGAATATGTTGCGTTATTTGGCTTGTAATGACCTCTATGCTTCCCTCTGATGTTAGCAGGTGTACCGACTCCTCACACCATATCCTACATTTCCCCCAATCAGCTTTAGCAAAGCACCACCTGGTTATTACACCTCCTTCCTGCATATATACATTAGTATTCATTTTAGTAAGCACTGGATAATGGTCACTTCCTACTGTGGAGTTATTCAAAACAAACCACTCACATATGAACCAAACAGTTTGACACTAATGTCAGATCCAGGCATGAAACCTTCCCCCTGTGTACATCTACTCTTGTGCCATGTCCATCATTAAGGCATACTAGTGTTCTTTCCTCCAGCATTTCTTCCACTATATTTCCGTTACTGTCTGTATGGTTGCTGCCCCATAGACTGTTGTGTGCATTGAAATCACCACACCAAACTTCCTTCCTATGTTTATTGCCTGCTATTTCTTTAAATATATCAGTGGTTAGATTTTTACATGGGTTGTATAAATTGATTATCCTAATGTTATCTTGTTTCCTAGGGTTGCAAATTTCCACTATAATGCACTCTATATCATCAGGAGATTGCACCTCCCTATATGCCACACCATCTTTGAGAAACGTGGCACACCCTCCACCATTTTGATTATTATCTCTACCATGCCTTATACAGCTAAATCCTGGAATGACAAAGTCTAATTGAGGTCGTAAACCAGGTTTCTTGCACACATATTACCTCAGGGACTACCTCTAGATCATATATATATTTCTTGAATTCTTGACCATTAGCTATGAGGCTTCTTGCGTTCCACTGTAGTATGTGCAGCACCATGATTAAGGATCTAACCCTCATCCTGATTTTCATTTTCCCCAGCTCCATTTATAGTTAGCATTGCATGTATCTGATCTGCTTTCATATCTTTCATGTCAAGGAATGTTCCAGCTGCCTCCACAATGGCTTTGATTCTATCACTTTTCTTTTTTAACTGTAATGCAACATTTACAGTATGGCATATAAATACCACAAAATGCACCTTTTTCACTCCTAAAACATCATCATCCTCTTTACTCTTGGTGGCGCTGTGGGGTTGGATTTGAAGATTACTTTTTGGTGTGTTCCTGACATTTTGAATTGTAATGCTCTGCTCCATTCCACTGATCTATTTGTACAGAGAGTGTTGGTTTACTGCTATTGTAACGCCTCCTTTCAGCCGGTCACCCACCTTAAACTCACAGGACTCCTCTATGACGACCTCAAGCCGGCTGTGCTCCCCTAAAATAGGTTTGCCCATCTCAGATATTCTCCGGGCCTCCTCCTCCTCAGGGCTGGGGTTGCCTTTCAGGGAGCACAGAGATGTAAGTATCATGTATATTTATTGTATTTATTGTGTAATTTACAAAACACACACATATCCTTAACCTCAGCCAATGGCACAGGTCAAAACCTCAAGCATTAAGAGATAAATACATTCCACACTTCACACATACTTTCAAACATTTGTAAAGGTGCTGCATGTGGCATTTACGTCTTGCTTCACTGATATTGTGAACTTCCTGTTGAACTGGAGTGGCCAAGAGGAATTTTAGCCCTGAATTTAGGCAATTTTCTTCACCGCCTCACACCTCAGTCATTGACTTAACTCTAAAATGTCCAATCTATGACTCAAAGCATATGAATTGCTAAGCTTGTTAGGTGAAATAGACAGCTAGCTATGCCTGTGAGTCTCTGCTCAGGGGATCATTTAAAAGTGTAAACCAGTATTATACTGTTTTTCCTCAATTTATAATAGGTCTCAGATATATACAAAACATGTCTCTGAAGTGTTTGGATCATTGCAGCATCCCATAATCCCCTCTGTTTCAGCCCTGTTTCCAAAGTGCTGATTCTCTGTCTGTTACTTTAGATGAAAATAAGGAGCCCCTCCCCACGCCCCTCTGAGAGAGATTTGGTTAAAAAGAACACAATGTGCTCTAGGAGGAGATTCAGGTGAAAAGGTGGGGGGTGTTACCTTGGTTGGTGATTGGCTAATGGTTACACAAGCCAAAAAAACCTTGTGACATCACAAAGTGGCCAAAATCTGATCAGCTCATTTTCAGAGAGGTTTTTATATAAATGGATCAGGACAAAAAGAGAGAGAATCTTTTTTCCTGAAACATTCAGAATCTCTTTACACAGAGGGGACACCTGCTGATGTATAAAAGACAGGAAAAAGTGGATTTTGCATAATAGGTCCCCTTTAAGACAAAATAAGAGATTTTTGGTTATTGACTAATTTGAATATGCTGGTTTTTATAAATGCTGCACATTGCACCTTTAACACCCAAGCTATCTTACCCTGGTTAAGCAGCAGGGCTGTGAAGAAAGACAGACAATGATTTATTACAATATAAGAACACTAATATCAGGGCAGGGTACATTAGCGTGCTCTGAGAACATCTAAAATGCAGTCAGTTACTCTGATGCAGGTGCCAAACATTCAGCCGCATGTGTTGCTGTTGTATAATTAGACACTAGATATGATATATTACTGCCATCTATTGTGTGTGAGAATACACTTTTATGTGGAGATGAACAATTCCTCTTTGACATAATCAGCATTACCTTATCATGATTAAAACTAGTCCCTTATAAATGAATAATGAGATTTTAGTTTTAGTAACATTTACCAGAGAGGCCCCGCTTCAACCATTTTGGGTCCTCCAGCACGATGAAGAAGTTCTCCTGCTTCTCGTACTCCGCCACATTTATAATGCGCACCTGTAAGACCTGACTGGAGATATGAAAGCATGCATACATGTTTTTTATTCAAAGAAAGAAGCCATAACTACTACGAAGCATAAAGTGCATACAGTTGATACACAATACCTCCACATCTTTAACATTTGCTCTACCATCTAAATCACATCACAAATTGAAGTGAACTCAATAATTCATCACAATGGGCCTTTAAATAATTCATGCTTAGACATAGTGTGCTATTACTCCTCAGTGTGCCAATGAAATGGCGCTGAACATAATGACTTGTAGCACAACAACAGCCTGGTTAACCAATGTCTATTAAGTTCATTTGAGGAAAATGAAAAAGGAATTCCTGACAAAATGAAAGGAGAGTATCAATACACACATAGCTTAATGGTCCCCGCAGAAGTCTAATGAACTTGACTGTAACGCATCCATTCATTGGCCATGTTACATAACAGAGTCTTTCACTAAGTGTACAATTAGACTATGTGCAAACACAGCTTATATAACCTGAACGTTTAATGGGAAAAGGATATGTCAGTTAACATAGGGTGACTGGAGGTTCCCCACACCTGATCAGGGACGGGATTATCTTTAGGTGTCAAGTGTTCCAATAGGACCTCCTCCTCCTAGTAATCCTCCGCTGAGGGTCAGGTGCCCCTTCCTTAGAAGCACTAATCGTTTAAAGTAGTATCAATATAAAAGCTTGTCTTTCCTCCTATCAAGTTGTGTGTATTCTTTTTATCTAAGTTCCGAAAAATGAACCTTCCATAAATGTGCAGGTGGCATACATATATAATTCCCTGCAATTTGAATCAGTGTGATGTTTACTTGCCTATGGAATGTTGTTAGGACTGATTGATGATTTGGTGCAGTCCGTTTAACACTCCTGGTCTATTGTAGCTAATAGAACACTGATTAAAACATAGATTAGTCTACTGGAATTTATCACAGATGAAACTGAATCAATACATTTGATTTATTTTTATTTCATTTAGCTAATAACAAAATCGATTTCCCCGTGTGCAGTTTTCTTGGCATTGCCTCATGTGTTTGTGTTCATAATGACCAAGTATCAGAGGCTTTCAGACCATATTTCAGTTTCAGAAAATACAGCAAAATGCGTTCTAAACAACCAACTATACCTACATTAAAGCAACCAAAAGACCTCACATCTCTGTCTTTCTTTGAATCTAGTAACAACAGTACAACTTCTAGTAACTACTTAACATTAGATACCTGTACTGCATGCTGTAATGTTGTCAGAACTGGTTTCAGATTTTCACATTTTAAATGGTAGGAACTGCAATCTACTCTCTAACTAGAGCCCTGCAGTCCACTGGGAGATTCAACAGCTCCATTATCTCAGGGTTTTAACTCCATCTAGTTGTGTTGTCTCTGTTTTGCTGTTTGGGTTCTTGTGAATGTTTAAGATAACCTAATCTCAACGAGAGTGTCTGATAAAACAAAGATAAAAACAAACAAGTTACAGTTTCATTCAAAGTTGGAAAGGGTTTCTTCTTCTTTACATCCTATAGTTCATTTTGAGTCGATCTCACAAACACTGTCATACTTCCTGAAACACTCACCAGGGCACCAGATCTTCAACACATTTGCTTCTGTCTAAAAACTACCAGAACTAAATGTTTAGGAAATCATTTTGCTTTTAAAAATGTAACTATGTATTTGTGGCACAGAGAAGCCAATGGGCTTTGATGTGAGTGAACACTTCTGACTGGGCCTTACCTGGTCTGCTCATTGGTGAACTCCACCTCTCCTCTGGCCTCCTCGTAGTCCACCCCCGCCTTGGCACTGCCGTCCTCCGTACGGTACGGCACACTGACGGTCCCCCTGGAGCCAGAGTTCCTCACCACCGTCACTTTCAGCGTGCCGGTGCTCTCACTGACCCGCAGCACGCGCTGGCCGAATGTGAAGATGCCAGCATGGTCATCATCCAAGATAGTGATGGTGGCCTGCAGGGGCTCCACCAGCCTGGCCTGTGGTGGAGTTCCTGTCCCTTCACCTCCACCTTCCTCTAACCTCAGGTTCTGAAGACGCACAAAGAAATGCTCGTCCTCCTCAAAGACGTCATCGTCCAAGATGCCCACCTGGAGAGAACAGAGTATAGTCACTGTACTGTACGTAAGTACAATTTTGAGATACTTATACTTTACTTGAGTATTTCCATATTATGCTACTTTGTACTTCTACTCCACCACAATTCAGAGGTAAATCGTGTACTTTTACCACACTACATTTATTTTATACATTTGCAAGCTACCATGCAGTATACAAAGTCATTCAAACTAGCTGCATCTTTACTAGCTTTGAGAACACTTTAATGCATCAATAATTATAATCAGAACATATCATATATATTATTCTTAAAATTACCAATTTGCATGACAAGTACTTTTACTTTTGGTACTTTAAGTATATTTAGATGCTAATACTTTTGTACTTTTACATAAGTAACATTTTGAAATCAGGACATTTACTTGTACTGTACATGTAACAGAGTATTCTACACTCTATAATTTCTACTTTTACTTAAGTACAAGATCTGAGTTCTTCTCCCACCTCTGGTCACTCTTCATGGGTGCAAAAGGCAAGACAAAAAGAACACAACGTTTAAAAACAGTCCCCTTTTCCCCTGCTCACCTTGATCTCCTTGCGGCCCTCCCCTGGCTTAAACATCAGTGTTCCCTTAGTGAAGTCATAGTCTGCCCCAGCATTAGCGGAGCCGTTTTCTGTACAGTAGTCCACATAGAAAGTGTTCTGGCCCGTCCCCCCCTCAAGGATCACCCCGATGCTCAGAGAGCCGCAGTTTTCTGTGCACTGGAACTGTGCACTTTCAAAACAAATGTGCGAGCATGTGGCCTTGTCAGCATCCTGGCCTGCGCTGCGCCGTGAGTGCTCGGCAGCGTGTTTCCTTAATACGTTGCCGGCACCAGTGGCGACTGGTCATTAGGGGCAGAGCCCCACCTAGTGTCAGCAGAAAGTATTACAAATAATGATTACAAAAAATGCAAAAAATAAATTAAAAAATATATAAAATATATTTTAAGATCATGTTTAATCATCTGATTCGTCTGTACATTGCTCTTGTTCTTCTAATTAGTGTCTACAGTGTGTGCCTATTGAGCTTTATATATACAGTCTATGCTATTGAGCTGTTTAGAGCCATGTGGGACAAAACCTGATCATGCCCCCTCCCTCTCACTGTGAGTGAACGGTGACTGTAAAAACTACACTGCGCATGCTCAGAGTATTTTCCTATTTAATGTGTGTGACAAAAAATAATGACCATAGGGGCACTGAGCTGCCATCCCCACCATACGTCATCTCACATAATTCAGAGCTGATTGGCTGTAAGTACGTGTGCCGCGAAAAGTGTGGTGTGTGAAGAGGAGGAGAGAGCTGCAGTGACGCGTCCTAAAACCAGGAACTAAGCTGCGCTTGGCTTCCCTCGACAAAAAAGCAATGAGATTTCTCCATAGGATTTTAGAAAATAGCTCGAAATAAGATCTGTGGGAAACGTACCTGTTAGATAAATGCACGTTTTGTTCAGCCGGATAATATCCACATGTCTACCCTACTTTTATAATTTTTGAATCATAAATCTATCGATTAGATTTATGATAGACTTTTGAAACTACAAGAAGATAAGGAGGACTTTTACAAAAAAGTAATAGAAATGTTTGTCCAGAAGGATAGGCAAATGGACTTCATCTTCAAGTCAAGGTAAGACCGCCATTTTATTGAAAATGGGATCTTACTAAGAGAGAACAATTCAATATTTAAATGATCAAATTACATTTTTTGGGTATCCTTTTGTTGAACTGTCTGTTTAAAATTAATCGAAGCATCAGACAAAAAAAGCTTTTGAAAATAATATTATATTTTGGTTTAGGTCAAAATATAATATTTGTAAACCTGAAGAGTCAGTGCCAGTGCCTCAGCAGCCATGAACCTCACTGCACGTCACTGCAGAAGCTTATATATAGACATCTAAGTTTTTTGTGCCCCACCACTTTTGTACATATAAAAACGCCACTGGCCGGCACCAATCATCAGGCGCGTGGCCTGGACTCGGTAGAAGGCGCGGCTCTTCTTCTGGTGGACCAGGGCCAAGTAGTTGGCCATCTCAATCAGCTGGTCCAGGTCTTTGTCTGGGTGCTTCTCCTTCAGGTCCTTCAGGATGCGGACCACCTATCAAAGAGAGGGAAATAATGCACAATTATTTTAAAGGGGTACGTTTGGCAAAATATAATAATAAGTATTTTATTCAGCTTTTTTCTTATTTATATTGAACATCTGTCACAAAACCAAATGTTTCCAGGGAAAAATGTAGAATTCTGATTGTGATGGCTTATTGACAAAAGTATTGGTGTTTCTTGAGGTAATATTTTATTATGAAAAGACCTGCCGTTCCTTCTTGCAGACGAAGGAACGGCAGGTCTTTTTATTAAGATAAACTTTGGAAGCACCTAATTGTCTGCAGTCCTGACATTCAGACCCCTGCTGGTATTAGCTCAAAGGAAACCTGAAATTCCCCTTAAAATCAAATTAAGTATCTTAAAAGTTAGAAAACATGATACACTAGTGGGCCTGACAGTGTCTTCCTTCTTTTAAAAGCCTTTAAAAATACTTCAGGATAATTCCTGCCACTTAAAAGAAAATATGTTCCCAAGCTAAAATGAAGAAAACAATCATTTTGTATATTAAGGTGCTATTATTACTTTTTTATGAATTACTTTTTGTACCTATTACCGATACAAAAACAAATCCTGAAATTAAAGGGGACGAAATCTATGATTTTACACCTTTTACTCTCCAGTCTAGCAATGTGTGTCTCCAGCAGCGTTTCTCCCACGTGTCTCACCTCGTCTTTGTTCTGGTCCAGCTCATTGCCTGTCTGCACAGAGACACTGGAAGAGTTTCCGGCACACGAAGCACCGTCCGACAACTTTCCATCCATGATCATGTCAATGCCCTTGGGCTCAAGGTCACCTTCCATTTCCACAACAATGCCGTGCCTCTTGTCGGCGCGGTAACGCTTGTGCATGTATTTGTAGAAGAGTAGGCGACGGTCAGCGATCCAAGCCAAGACCACACACAACGGAAAATAGAGCAGTGTGACTATGGCCTCCCACACCTGCAATACAGGCACCATGAGCACTACCTGTTTACACACTTGATTTATTAGAAATGTATTTATATATATATATTCATCTGAACCAACCTCCACGATCCCAGGTGAGATGACAGCCAGTATGAGGTAGAGCCAAATGTAGGCAAAAATACTCCAGAAGGCCGTGATAAAAAACACCCGCAGGTGTTTGATCTTGCGAGACTCTCCGTTCGGGATCACCCACACACAGATACCGATGATCACAAACATGTTGAAGGCAGCGCTGCCCACTATGGTGCTCGGCCCAAGCACGCCTGCATCAAAGTTGTGCCCGATCACCTGTCAACATTTAAGGACAGAAAAAGACGAACGTCACATAGATCAATATCAAACATTTCTTATTTTAATTCTAACTGAAACGGAATCCCCAATACCCTTAAAACAACCAAAACAACACAATATCATTATAAAAGAGGGCTACTTTGAAATGTATATTACATTTTTTGAGAATATAACAAACAACTGAAAATTAACTATATTAGAGACAGTATAGAGAATATCTATTTATTAGCTGAAATCAATCAATGTATAAACATTAGATGTGTCAATCGGTTAACATTTTTAATGAAGTTAATCACAATAATAATGTAAACTTGTGATTAATCATTAATAATCACAAGTTTAAAATGCTAGTTCTACTTGTATTTTGTGGATAAAACAAATACACATGTGGTGATGCAATAAAGAAATGCATTAAAAACTGTTAAGATATATAAGAGGGTGTATTACCTTTATTATAACATCTCAGCTTAGTTTATTTCTTAGTCTTATTAATAATTCACATGAATTCCACAAATTACAAAAAAAGTAACATTTGCCTGTAATTAATGAACAGCTTGTTTGTTCTCACAATTTTTCTTTCATCTAAAGTTCCATCTGGAAGCTTTATTTTGTTTTCATCACACCGGGGATATGTCCTCAGTCATTCTTTACCATGTAATCACACAGGTAAAGAATCTGTGCTGGGATTACGGGAGAAAGCTTGCCCCCGTCTTGGTAATCTGATTGAGGTTTTCAAGAATAATTGCAAGCGTTAATGTGTTAACGTTGACAGCCCTAATAAATATGAAATATGTTTTCTTCACATTGGTTGTTGCAATCCCTAATAATGAACATATTACTGTGCCTTGAGTTTACCCTCATTTTTATTCACTAACAGTATTAAATATTGTATTAATTTGTTCATTGATACATGTAAAATACACAACTACAAGTCATTGATTTGTTGTGTTATTCTTAGCAGTGCATTCATGTTAGTAAGAAAGTGACATTTCATATATTTTTAAAGACAAACTCAAAGACAACAGGGATGTGAACGGCGGTGTGTACCTCAATAAGAGAGAGGAGGATCTCAGGGGCCGAGGAGCCCAGGGCCATGAGAGTGAGGTTGGACACGGTCTCGTTCCAGACTCTCACTGTGGTCACCGTGGTTTCCCCGTTAGCTTTGGTGATGGTCACCTCTTTCTCCTGCAATCAAACACGTTTATTAAGATATCAAATATGCCATTCAGACTGAATTCATACTCACCAATTCCTGTTATTAGAATCAACCCTAGTGTCACAATATGATGACATTCATAAAGTAATTCAAACATCTTGTACTGTATTATGCCGTTCAGAGGAGTGTCCATTTAATGATTTTAATTTTAGTACCGGTAGATATAACTTAGAGCATTTGATGTGGAGTTCATTTTAGACGGTTACATCATGAAGTGGTTATAGATCTTTAGCTCCTAAAAGAAAGATCCATTATAACCATCATTATATTATAACTTGTTTTCCATTTTAGTTCCCATGGTAACACCTAATAACAATAGCTTAAGGTTGAATGTACTTTGGAGTCAAAGATTAACTATTTTTTCTTTTACGTAAACACCTCACATGGTCAACACCCCTTCAAATTTGTGCAGGACCATAATATATATGAGAGGTTTCCTTGGTATCCACATCCCCTCCACTATAATCTGAGTGAAAGTCTTGAAATGATCTTAGTGATTATCCACGGATAGTTAACTTATATACGATAGCCAGTTGTCCATCAGTTTCTTAAAGCCAAAATGCCCACTTGCTGGATGAATTCTTGATTTACTGTAGGGCATATTTCACATATGTCTATCTGTCAGGCATATATATACAGTTATGGGCCAGCCCATTGGCGGCCCGCTGCTGAAACACCAGTACACTGCAGGGGGAAAAGTGGGAAATAGACACTAATCTAGTATGTTTTCATTTATGTGAATAACTGTATGCATGTAAATACCCTGTATGCGGTATATACTGTAGAACCTTTAAATGGTGTTGCTGGATTTGTTCCTCTTGCTTACCAGCAACCACTTTGGGCACATTGAGATTCTTATTGGGTCAGTTACAGTCATAGAGAGTAGAATGGGACTAAAGCACTCTTCACTATCGAAAAAGTAGCGGCAAAATGGTTTAATAATACCTGGGAGGTGATGACTTCTATGGATGCCATGAAGCGATCTGTGATGATGGACACGCCCAAGAAGATGTACATGAGACACGCGAAGTAGACAATAGCTCTCCCCGCCTGCTCTCCCAGCGGAGGGTTGAGAGGCAGCCACACCGGCAGCAGGACCCCGGGTCGACACACCACCTCGCCCGGACACACAGTTTTGCCCGTGGTGTTACCAGAGGGCTGAGGCTGCTCGGGGGAAGACGCTCGCTCCACAACCTGAGGCCTGATGGAGGAGCAGGGGTGGGCCAGGAGGAAGGAGAGTATAAGGGTGAGGAGCGGGGAGAAGTGTACAGGGAGGGGTCCCATGATATCCCTGAGTTGGAGGGGCCTGGGGGTCACTGTGTCAGAGGACTCTCCTGGGGGGACAGAGGAAGGCACATTGTTACTGTGGAGAAAGAGATACAGAGGGGAATAACACATTTAAATAACAAACGATGAAGGTATGTTAATATTATATTTTCAATATGTCTTCGATTTAACTCGTTTGAAACGTCAAACGATAGTTTATTTCTAGGTTTATTCGATTTTAAGCCAATTCACCAGGATGTATGTATGTCTGTCTGTCTGTCTGTCTGTCTGTCTGTCTGTCTGTCTGTCTGTCTGTCTGTCTGTCTGTCTGTCTGTCTGTCTGTCTGTCTGTCTGTCTGCCCCCTCAGAATAAATGTCCATCAGTTTGATGATCCTGACTTTTTTCTTCTAGTACCATCTACAGGGTATTTTGTCTAATACATCAGTTTATGACTGAATATCTGAAAATTAATGACTCAGTTGGACTTTGCACTAATTGGCAAATATAAACAAATATGTACATGGTAAACATACTGCACATACACATACTGCACATACACATACAAACATATACATGCTTAAAGGTGCAATTTGTTAAATATGTTAGAATTTTACATTTGAATTTACCATTAACAACTAAATGTGAAGAGGTAACAGTTTTAACATCTACTCAAGGATCATCTATTGTTATTTTTGCACTATAGGGTGAGGGAGATAAAGTATTGCAGCAGCAACTGGCTGGTCAATAACAGCCATGCTCAGTGTCTGTTTAATTATTATGTGTATTGTATTACATTTAAAGGTATTTGGCCTCCCTAATACACCATTGCTACTGTCCAGTTACTGCTCTCCTAATTCCTACCCCCCTATTTGCAGGCAATCTTATTGGAATAGACTCATTTTTAAACTCTGCCTTTATTTTGATCCCAATCACACAACTGTACAAAGTTGTGAGGTTTTAGCAGTGACATAATCTGTCCACAGACATATATACAGTGCATCTGGAAAGTATTCATGCCTCTTCACTTTTTCCACATTTTTGTATGTTACAGCCTTATTTCAATTTGGATTAAATTCATTTGTTTTCTCAACATTCTACACATTATACCCCATAATGACAAAGTGAAAACAGTTTGTAAATAATCTTTGCAAATGAATTAAAAATAAAACACTCAAATATCACATGTACATAAGTATTCACACCCTTTACTCAATACGTTGTTGAAGCACCTTTGGCAGCGATTACAGCCTCAAGTCTTCTTGAGCATGATGCCACACGCTTGGCACACCTATCTTTGGGCAGTTTCTCCCATTCTTCTTTGCAGATCGTCTCAAGCTCCATCAGCTTGGATGGGGAGCGTCGGTGCACAGCCATTTTCAGATCTCTCCAGAGATATTCAATCCGGTTCAAGTCTGGGCTCTGGCTGGGCCACTCAAGGACATTCACAGACTTGTCCCGAAGCCACTCCTTTGTTATCGTGGCTGTGTGCTTAAGGTCATTGTCCTGTTGAAGGGTGAACCTTCGCCCCAGTCTGAGGTCCAGAGCGCTCTGGAGCAGGTTTTCATCAAGGATCTCCCTGTACATTGCTGCATTCATCTTTCCCTTGATCCTGACTAGTCTCCCAGTTCCTGCCGCTGAAAAACATCCCCACAGCATGATGCTGCCACCACCAGGCTTCACTGTAGGGATGATGTTGGCCAGGTGATGAGCGGTGCCTGAGTTCCTCCAGACATGATGCTTGGCATTCAGGCCAAATGTTGTTTCATCAGACCAGACAATTTGGTTTCTCGTGGTCTGAGAGTCCTCTAGGTGCTCCATGGGGGCTTTCATGTGCCTTTTACTGAGGCGTGGCTTCCTTCTGGCCACTCTACCATAAAGGCCTGATTGGTGGAGTGCTGCACAGATGGTTGTCCTTCTAGAAGGTTCTCCCATCTCCACAGAGGAACACTGGAGCTCTGTCAGAGTGACCAGCATTGGTCACCTCTCTGACTAAGGCCCTTCTCCCCCATTGTTCAGTTTGGTTTGGGCGGCCAGCTCTAGGAAGAGCCCTGGTGGTTTCAAACATCTTCCATTTGCAAATGATGGAAACCAATGTGCTCGTTGGGACGTTCAATGCTGCAGACATTTTTCTGTACCCTTCCCCAGATCTGTGCCTTGATACAATCCTGTCTCTGAGGTCTACAGACAATTCCGTGGACCTCATGACTTGGTTTGTGCTCTGATATGCACTGTCAACTGTGGGACCTCATATAGACAGGTGTGTTCCTTTCCAAGTCATGTCCAATCTATTTAATTTACCACAGGTGAACTCCAGTCAAGTTATAGAAACATCTCAAGGATGATCAGTGGAAACGGGATGCGCCTGAGCTCAATTTTCAGTGTCAAAGCAAAGGGTGTGAATACTTACAGTATGTACTTGTGATGTTTCATTTTATAATTTTTAACACATTTGCGAAAAAATCTTTAAAAACGTTTTCTATTTGTCATTATGGGGTATTGTGTGTGGAATGTTGAGAATCTTTTTTTTTTTTATCCATTTTGAAATAAGGCTTTAACATAACAAAATGCGAAAAAAGTTAAGGGTTGGTGTCTCCAGGTGCACATTTTACTGTTGCAACAGACACACAAGGTGAAAAAAACCAACACCAACTTCGCTGCCACGGCTGTTCATTTTTTATATTAATAACCTACCTTCTTTTTTTGTATCTATATCATTGAAAATTAAGATAACCTCACATTGTCATTGTCCTGCTCAACAACCATCACTGGTGAGTTACATAAGCATTCCCATAGCTAATTGAGTCATGATGTTTACTTCTAGCAACGTCTTAATGATATTGTTCCTGTTTAATATACTCTTTAACTGTGATATACTACTTGATATTGCAAAAGCAGTTAAATATTAACCACAGGCAAGGCAATACATGTGTTTATATTATCTGAACACAATAAGTGTTGATGCTAAAATGTATTACTTATTATCTCACTTGAAAAATGAGTTATTTGAGTTGTATGTGAGTATTGGATTGAAGGTAGGCTGCATAATGTCAGAGCAGACATCAACAAAGCAGACACGTGTTCAGCTGCAGCCGGCACCGTGAGGATGTTTGGGTGTGAGTACAGCAGGTCATTGAAAGCTTTTAGTCTATCTGTGCGGATACTGCCCCCCACCCCCACCCCCACCCTCCTCCTGTACAGGTGACACTGCACTATTGTGCAGCGTGAGTTGAAACAGATACTGGGGTGCTGCATCTTTGATGCTGCTCGGGCTCTGCCAGCTCATTATGGAGTTGTGATTCAGAAACTCCGCCGCATCGCATTTCACTTTCCAAGGCCTGCTATGGTTACCACGACCTCAGACAGAGGGCCACCTTACACCAGTGGGTGCTGGGGGGGGGGGGGGGGGGGCTCACCAAAAATAACTTCCTCAATGGTCATATTTGGATAACAATAGTGCACAAGAGTGATATTCGACCAAGCAGGGAGATAATAATAGTTATACATATTCCTGTTAAATCAATTCTTATATGCTGGCCCAAAAGATATCTGATGTTGTTGCTGCGTGTGGCTTGAGCACCGGGTTTTTGTTGTGGTTTCTTTGGTTGTACAACCTGGGCTGCAGGAAATCATCTCTGTGAACATCCTGTACTATTTGCCAGGGTCTAACACGAGTGTGACATGTGAAAGGTCCAGAAGCAGATTTGTCATGTATATTAAGTGCATTTTTTCATGGATAACCTGTAGTAAGAAGCTGAGGCAATACATAAGTGCGAGATAATCAAGGAGCCAGTGCTGGAAGAGCTGGATGCATTATTGATTGATGCATCCACCTAAATATCGCAGGATATCTCTTCCTTTCATGTTACCTACAGGCAGCACAAAATCTTTCTGAAGAGGAACAAATTGGATTTATCAGCCGGAAGGGAGGACTTCTTAAGTCTTTCCCATAAGAGCTGCCAAGTTTCAAGTAAATATTTTTAGATTTTTCTCAAGGAACAATTTTCACTGGACATTTAAAAGTCTAACTATTATGGCTAGAGGTTCCAAATATGTTAAAAGTCAACCATGTTCATGTATAAAGTTGAGGGTGGTAAAGGACATGAAGAACAGCCTTTCTGATGCGTGGTAGAAGGGGGTTGAGGGTTGTTGACATGTCTCCTTGTCCTCTCAGCACACTGGAACAGTGAGCTGCGTGACAGCTTTTCTCCTCTTTCTGCATCTGACACTTCCACATCACTCACCACCACCACTGATAAGTGATTGCCTGGGGTCCTCTAACACTGATAGGACTGCCACAAAAAGGGGAGTTAGCACCTTTTACAGTTTAATATTTCCTGTACCCTGAAAGTCGGTTAGTGTCAGGATGCTGCTTTTCACAAGCCAAAAACTCAGGTGTTAGGGTGACACTGATTATTTGATCAAGCATAAATAAATAGGAAATACATTTGCTTCTGATGTTTAACGTACAAGAATATTTGTGACACACAGTGACTTACAATCATTCCCTTTAAAGTAGTGATGTGAATTACGGCTCATTGAAAGTTATGGGCTCTGTTCTTTTCAGAGAGCAGTTCATTGTTCTGTTTTTTGTTTATTTAAAGGGGCAGGGTTTTCTTGCTACTTTTCGTAGGGGCCAAACCATGGATTAACAACTTCTGTGTCAGTCACATGATGCCATAGGGCAGAAAACAAAATGTTTCCTATTGATTGTCTGACATTGGAAAAGACACGTCTGTAAATCAGTGTATGTTTTTTAGTTTTAGGTAATACAACCTTCCAGAGCGACACTTAAATAGCCATTATTTATATAATGATATCCTAATAGTTGTAAAATGTGCTGGTAGCCAAATTCAGAGTTTTCACTCCTCTATTTTATCTAAGTAGGCCAAGAACTGAAGTGCAAAGCAGATGGGAGGCGGGGCTTAAGAAGGCCTATTGGCCAACTGGGTGCAGAAGATGACCTGAAGGTTCAGAGCATTGATGTAAAAAGAGAACTGGACACAGCATTGGGGGCGGG